TTCAGTGCACGGGACGATGCTCCAACCAACTGAGCCACACCGGCCAGGGCACTGAGTCATTTCTTGTTGCAGGAATTCAGGGAAGGGGAAAGTCACAGGAGGCTATCTGGTCACCAGAGGCCTTCATTCAAGCAGTTAGGAATTATACCCTCCCCTAATGCCAGGCACTTTGCTAAAGGCCTCTCCCGGCCACTGTTCTGTATAATCTTTATGAGATCTATCTGAGCAATAGATGCTGTCTTCTATCATAGATGCTAGAGGAGGTCCTTGAGCCCAGCCCTTTCCGACTTTGCAGAGCCTGGGCCGGTGGAGAGGTGGGGGGAGGAGGAAGGAAGTGCCAGGTGGGACCCGGCCTGTGCAGGTTGTGGAGAGGAGACACGGATGTCTCAGTGGTGGTGAGCAGTGTTGGTTTGCCTCCCTTTCTCTTCCAGGGCACAGACCAGCCCTCCTCCACGTACCCCTGCGATGCCTAGGCAGAGCCTGGCCCGGGGCCGGGGCCCACTGAACACTCATGCAGGCCAGTGGCATGAGCCTCACAGGACTCATGTGAATGTGAGTGACCGAGCCTTCGGCTGGCTCTGTGGTTCCTCCTGACTCAGGCCTGGGGTGTCAGCCAGGTGTGAGGGGCAGGGAAGGTATTTTGTTCATCTCGTGACCTCACTGCCCATAAGCCTGCCATGGAGAGGAAGGGACGAGGTGGTGACCTCATAGGACTGGCTGACTCCCTGTGTCAGGACAATTCCTAGACACTTCGGTGAGGCTCTGGTTCTGGCCACCGGACCTGGCTGGCTCTTGGTGGTCTGGCCTCTGCCTCAGTAGAGACTCAGGCTTGCTTACCACCCACAGGCCTCACGGCCATTTTTCTCGCCTTGTGTTTGCCATGGAGCATCTACACGGTCGTCAGAGCCGGAAGGGACATGAGAAAACACCAACCCGGGCCCTCATTTGACCCACAAGGAAACGGGGGCCCAGAGAGGACATGGGTGGGGCTCATCGCCTCTTCGGCCAGTTAGAGCTCTAAGCGAGTCTTGTGACTCTGGGTCCAGTGCCCCTTCCTGGACTTGTGAGCGGGGCGGGGGCATTGCTTGGGACCTCAGAAGTAGCCCATCATCCCCTTACCACAGAGTGTCCCTTCAGCCACCACCCCGAGTCCAGGTCACAGCTGTCTGGGTCACGCCTGCCTCCCCACGCATCCCCGCTGCATTGGCTCATTTACTCTCTTGTTCGTAGAGAACTTGCTTTGCCAGGGCAGTAATCGCACTGGGAGGTTTTTTCCCTCCCCAGGAGCAGGGCTGGACTGCTGCTGCTGATCTTGTGGTGTTAGGCCTGCAGGTGATGGTATTTAATTAAGTCACCTGCCACTTTAAAAAGCCTCTCTCACCGGTTCCGTTCCGGTGACAGCGGTGCCCTTTGCTTTACGTGGCGCACCCAGACGAGGTCCTCTCCACTCCTGCGCTGTTACTAGAGTGATGCATAGTCAGGCCACGGTGATTCGTGCAGACCAGATCTTTATGTCATTATGGCTCATTAAGGTATTGACATTGATATTCCTGAGAAACATTCCCCAGCCAGGACTCTCCCAGCACCTGACCGGCCCCAGCCTCTCCCTCTCCCTCCCCCTGGGTCTGGGGCAGGTCAGAAGAGGCCCTGGTTCCATTTCTTGGAGGTACAGGGAATCAGGCTTAAAGAGAAGGAGGCAAAGACCGCCCAGAGCAAGGGGCTGGGAACTCCCAGGCATCCCCTGTCCTTACCACCAACCCCACCCGCCCTGAGCCTCCTGGTAGGGAAGCCAACAGAGCAGCTCTCTGTTTGGTCCTGGGCCCTCGAGACCAGCAGAGGGGCTCACTTTCTGGGTTCACATCCCAGATTCACCGTTGATTGGTTGTGTGCCTCGGACATGGCATTCTAATCTCTGTTTCACAGTCCAGGAAAGCAGGCCTCGAGATAAGCACCTTACTTTTCTCAAAGGGTAGTTAGGACCATTAAACTCCATCAATAAGGCCCATGGTAAACCCTCAGGCACATAATATCATCATTCTCATCCAAGTAAGAGCTGAGGCTGTGATATTGACCATGTGAGCTACAGAGACTGGTGTGGAACCGGAAGACAAATAAGGCCCATGGTAAACCCTCAGGCACATAATATCGTTCTCATCCACGTAAGAGCTGAGTCTGTGATATTGACCGTGTGAGCTACAGAGACTGGTGTGGAACGGGAAGACAGAGCTGGTTCTACTCCTCCCTCTCTCCTGGAAGGGAGTGAGCAAACTGAAAACACAGAGGTAGTGCCCTGACCCCGGTGAGGCGAGCCTGGGAGCCCCGGGGCGGCTGGAGGCCTCTCAGTCCCTGTCCTTGCTGGTAAAGCGGGGCCATGACAGCACCTCGAGTGGCGGGGGTGGAGTGGGACCACCTGGTGTCCCCTGGGTGCTCACTGAACGCTACCTTTCTCTTCTCTTCTCTCCCCTCCCCATCCCTTCAGAGTCCTTGTGCCCCAGGGGGCAGCGGGCACTGACTCTGGCCCGAGGGATGGTGACTTGCGTTCTTGGAGAGGAGCAGGGCAGTCGAGGCCTGTGGTCCTCGGTCACCCTGCCCAGCCCTCCCCGGTGGAAGGATGTGAAGTTGCCTCTCAGCTCTGCCCTTATGTTTAGTTGACTTGCTGACTCTTTTGAAAACAGCCAGGCCTCTTCTGTGGGTCTCCCCGCACAAGGCGAACAGAGCCTTAGATGCAGAACAGAAGGAGCCAGGCCTCTTGTATGCCAGGTGACCATGGGGGTGACCACCCTTCCGGGGCCTCATTTGGGCAGGAGGGAGCTACAGAATGCAAGCCTGGGTGCTCTTCCCTGTGATGCAGGCCAAAACCCTGTGCCTGGGCCGCTCTTCCTCCTGCATTTGCAGGTGACTGGTGTTAACCTCACCCCCTCCCTGGACCTGGGGATACACTGAGGCTGAGAGCAGATGCTCCTGCACAGGGCAGCTGGGAGCCATTCCTGGCCTAGGGTGACTGAATAACCAGTCAGCCATCCCTAAGCACCTACTATGTGCTAGGCAGTGAGGATGCAAAAATGAAAAGACATTTGGGGATGGACAGGCTTGTAAGCATGTGGTAGAAACACAAGCAGAGCCTTGGGCCTGTAGGGCAGCTCTTCCTGGGGGCCGAGTGCTCCCTACAAATGGAAGAAAAGCTCAGCCTTTGGGGGACGTGGAGAGAGGGGGCTGGGTGGGCAGGGGACTCGTGGAGAACGGCCTTGGGGCTGTAGGTTTCCTTCTAAAGGCAATCGGAGAATTCCACCGGAGAATCCTGAGTAGAGAGTGGCATAACCACATGGGCAGGTAGAAAGGCTCGCTTGGTGGCTGGTGGGCTGGTGAGAGCAGTTTCTGGAGAGGGGCTGCCCTGAGAAACGCACTAGACAGGGAGGGTGGGTTAGTGGTGAGGCGAGTAAAGAACGTAGGATGGGGAGGAGATGAGGAGAGACTTGGGAGGGAGGGTGGACGGGATTTGGAGGCTGGCTGGGATTCCTGGATCTGTGTGGCCGACTGCCCGACTCTGCCCCTTCCAGTGGTGCCAACGCCCCGGGGGGGGGGGCACAGTGTCCGGGAGGCCAGAGAGATGCTGCCCTGAGCACGGCCAGTTTGTGCAGGCTGCTCGGCAAGTGATTTAAAGCCAAAGGGTGCACACCAGCCTGCAGACATTTGGATAAACGCAAACTGCCGCCCTCATGTGCCAGGGGAGCCGAGAGAGCTCCAGATGAGGAGAGACTTGGGAGGGAGGGTGGACGGGATTCGGAGTCTGGCTGGGATTCCTGGATCTGTGTGGCCGGCTGCCCGACTCTGCCCCTTCCAGTGGTGCCAACGCCCGGGGGGGGGGGGGGGCAGAGTGTCTGGGAGGCCGGAGAGATGCTGCCCTGAGCACGGCCAGTTTGTGCAGGCTGCTCGGCAAGTGATTTAAAGCCAAAGGGTGCACACCAGCCTGCAGATATTTGGATAAACGCAAACTGCCGCCCTCATGTGCCAGGGGAGCCGAGAGAGCTCCCCAAAAGAGCAGTGGGGGTTGGGGAAGTGGCATGGCCGGACGTGGCCCACCTGTCTCCGCTAAACACTAAACACGATCCCTCTTTCCCCTCCACCCCCGCTCACTGCCTTCCGCCAGGATTCCAGAAGCTTCTGTGCCAAGAGTGGATTGCCAGGCAAGAAAGGAAGAGGGGGGAGGAGGGACCGGGAGGGAGAGGGTGTTGTTGCAGGCCTGCCTCCAGGTCCCGGGCCCCTCCCTCCTGTCCCCGCAAGAAGGACCAGCTTAGTTGCTACCAGTCTTCCCTCTGAGGGATGGGTCAGGGTTGTCAGGGAGGAGTCCTGCCTCTTCCTACGTCTGGTCTGTCTCTCGTGGAAGTGAGGCTAACGCTCCTCCCTTAGGCATAACATGTTCCTGGGAGCGCTGATGCCTTCTGAAATAGCTTTTTCAGACATCGTAAGGGACGGGTTTGGGGTGAGGTAAGAGATCCTGGCAAAGCCATGATTCTCAGGGGTGTTATTCAGACATTAGGAATTTGCACTTAATGGGTACTAGGCGACCCCTCCACCCCCCACCCCACCTTGTACTCCAGGAGGGGTAGGGCCCTGTGGGGAGCACATGTGGCACCAGGCAGCTCCCTCCTTCGTGCATCTGCCCAGAGAGCTGGGGCTCTAGGTGCTGTGG